TATGTATATATATATATATATATATATATATATATATATATATATATATATATATATACCGTTTACAATTAGTGTTCATTGGTGCAAGGTGTACATTACAACTTTAACACATCTATCAATCCAAGTCCATTATCGATATTGATAGAACGGCTAATATCCCACCAGCTAGCAGTCCTTGTAATGAGCAACTCAGTTTAGAGCACAAACGCACAAAATGCTGTATTTTGTAGTCATTAATATTTAATATATGTGACAGCCAACCAATTGTATATAACTAATGGACAACTATGTTTGGCCAAGGTAGTTGTTACGGTCTCTGCTTTTATACTACTTATCGATAAGAAGAGAAACGGCGACGGAAATGAGTCCTTTTATCATTATGTACGCACATGCGCACTGAGCGGGATAATTTCCACTGACGTGAGGAGACTAGGGTGGAGAAGATAACTAACGGGGAATAGATGACAATTAGTTGCCGAGTGCAGGCTTAGGACAGTTTACTCTCTGCTATGGAACCGAGTAGAATATAGCATATTAATAGATTTCTGTTTCATCAATTTCTAAGTGGGATGCCACAGGACTTATTTATTCACCTTTATTTGAGCTTAGCATAGGTATAAGGTGAGTTACCATCTAGTAAGATTCCAAATAAGCCTTTAAGGAAACATTTCCATAACCAAATAAAATTATTACATGTCTATTTAATTAAGACCATTGTACAATATTTGCACGTTTTTGTTCTTTACTTACTGGGTGTAATGTTTTGCATTTGAATATATTCCGTTGTGATAACTATCTACTAATTTAACACTTATTTTCTCTCAGCATCGTTATTAACGCATTAAGCTCGAAGTATTAATGTATTTGCCGGTTTAAATACGGAGCAATTTTCCGATGTAGCATGCGTTAACCAATGCGTTGTCACTGTTAACAAGCCTAACACTTCCTGTAGCGTCGGTGCCACTGGATGTTGACATAAATGTTTGATACAAACGCATGTTTTTTGCCAGTGAAATTAGCTTTTACATCGTTGAAAATGTGAGGCCATTAACATGGTCTGTTAATTACATATTCTATCAATTAATTAAAAATCCCGATCCAAGACATGGACTGTCACAGGTTCGGTCATTATTTTTTGACTAATAATGGATTATTCATAATTTATAATGAGTGTGGGCAACACTTTGATTTATAAAATGAAAAATCATTTTATCTCGATCATTCATTGTAATTACTAAAAGCTTACATTGAAACTATTTCATGTCGTGCCTGTCAATAACAACGTTAAAAAATAATGAAACGTTACGGTATCGTTTATAGACATATCTGATTACACATTTTAATGGAAAATTTATCATAGATTTGCTACTTTAATTATTTCTTGAAAACGTGTCAATGAATAATAAAATTTTAAATTTACGACATCATTATCAAGATGAATTTACAAATTTGTAATTCGACCAATAAGAAGTTTTTCTTTGATTAACTAGGTCAGCATCTAGGTCAGGTTATAATAAAAATTAACTAGGTCAGCATCTAGGTCAGGTTATAATAAAAAAAAAATATCAATTGAACATTTATGTCTCTCACGGCCACTACGTCTACTTAAAGGGATCGAGATACTTTATCAAACAGTAATATGCTTATGTACTGTATTATAGGCCTATATATATATATGTATATA